TGATATCTATTTCCAGCAATGTGCATGGATGGATTCAGAAACCAACATGAAATGGACTGAAAACACTTTGAAAAATGGCCTTAAGGATGATCCTGCAGAAAAGGTACTTTTTGCAGATAATGTTGGCTTTCAGCAAGCCCAAAACTTCCATGAAGCTTGCAGAGATTTAAACACTGGTCTATTTGTTGCCTGAAAACCACACAGACAAAGTGCAGCCCATAGATGCTGTTTATGGAAATATGATCAAGAAAAAAACAGGCAAACAGATGGAGAAGTGGCTGGAGAAGGAGGAGAACCTTGAAATGTGGCATGATGGTATTCCTGCTAAAACAAGGAGGGTTTTGATGACAAAATGGGCTGGTAAAGCATGGAGAGAACTGAGTTCTGATGAGGACTTTGTAAAGAAACTTTTTGAAAAAACTGGATGCTTGATGACTGCTGATGGGGAGGATGATGAGAAAATAAGACCACAGGGACTTGAGCCTAATACATTTCAGAGCACACAGTCATGTGCATGGACATACTTAGACACTTTGCAATCATGGACCCTGGGAATACCTTTTGAGACTTTACATTCATACAAAAGCTAATGTACAGTACAATGCATCTTTATTTCAATACGCAAGAAAATTAACATTTTGTTTCAAATTGTATTTGATTATTTTCAAATTGGTTCAATTTCAATTCCCTAAATTGGGTTGTTATCTATTTTTGCTGTTTTTATTTATATATTTATATTGCTGTTAACAATTTACGTTATTATCAAATACAACTGTAAATATGGTAGCCTATGATACTGAATTTATTATTGTTTAAAATATAAGGCTTGGCATTTTGGCTTTTTAAAATACAAATGTTCAACCATTATGACATACTAGTACTACAGTAGTTCTCTGAATGGTATCACTATGACAACTCCTACAAATAAGAACCTACTAAGAACCTAATCAGCCTGAGTTCAGAAAAACTACCCCAAAATATAAGAACCCATTCAGCCTGAACCCAAAAATTCTAGGTTCTTATACGCGGGTGTTTACTGTAGTGCTTTTGGGAATGTAAGCGTCCATTCAAAAAAATCAACGGATTTGGGTATCTTGTTTTCTTTACAAAGGACCGATACTTGCAGGCATTCCAAAAGAGCTAAAACAATTAAACGACGTAGAGACCGAGAGCCGTCCAGAATATCGATGAACAAGGTTTTCAAGACCGCGAAGATAAGAAAAACTAGAAGCAAATTTAAGGTTTCTATAAGGAAATATAATCCTAAATCTTCTTAGTTGTACAGCTTTGCTACTGATTTTAAGTTCTGCTTTGTCAGATATCTGAACAGATGTGAGGGATTTTTCACTAAGTTTGTAAAATGAAACAAACTGACTGCAAAGAAAAGCAAACTTGGAACTCACGCCCCTTCATTTAACCACAAAAAAATAGCATTAAGTACTCATAGTAGAAAGTTCTGTGTGTCACGAATGAAGCTTTTGACTTCAGGTTAATTAAATCCAGGTCCTCTTCAAGGTGTCAACACTCAAACTACATTGTCATTAGGCTCCACCATGTTGTTAAATTTTCGATTACATCGGCTGGGACTGAGACCCCTTGATGTGGGTGGTGCAGGTGATTGTTTCTTTAGCGCTGTTTCTCATCAGTTGTATGGTGATCCAAGTCACCACTTGCAAATCAGACAAGATGGTATTAATTATCTCAGGTCAACCCAGAAAATTTCATTGAAAGCAATACCCACAGTTCATGGAATGACTATTTGGTTAATATGTCTCTGCAAGGTTCATGGTGTGATGCAATCATTGTTCAAGCAGTTGCTGAGTCACAAAACTTGAGAATTCATATTGTAGAATCCAATGAAAATTTTTCTGATACAACTTTAATTGAACCAGCGCATTTATTGCAACAACCTCCTACAACAATTTATTTAGGTCATGTAAATGAAGAACATTATGTATCAACAGTACCATATATGTGTAGCTCTAGTTCACTAGAAAGTCAGCATATTGATATTTTAAACAAAATCGAACAAAAAGTTGTCTCTGAAGAATCATATAATGCCAGCCTAAAAAGGAAAAAAAGCATGTACATGAGAGAATATAGGAAGAAGAAAAAGGCCAGTGAAAGTAGGAAGCAGACATCTAAAATCAATGAAGTAAGCGCCAAAAGGAATCGCAATCCTTACCTGAGGGAATATATGAAAAAAAGGAGAACTGATGAAGGTAGGATGCAAAAATCAAACAACAGGAATAGCAGTGTTCTGTCTGGGATAGATGACCAAACTTCTACCACTAAGAAAAACCAAAAAAAAACAATGTCTCTGTGAGGTAGCAAACCAGAATAGAGAATGTCACATTAGAGTGGCAACAACCGCCGCAAAAAGTAGTAATGATGAAGACCTAAATGAGAATCATCACATTTCAAAGTTTCATGAAATAGTGTCGCAAGGTCCATTATACATCTGTAGCTGTTGTGACCAGCTATGGTATAAACACAGTGTTTCTTCAGCTGGGGAAAAATACCTTATTAATAAAGTAAGTGTCAAACATAAAGAGTGGCTTTGCAGAACATGCTACAAATACTTAATAAAGAATAAAGTTCCTCCTACTGCTATTTTAAATGGAATGCAATTTCCAAAAAACCCAGATTTTTTTGACTTGAATGAACTTGAATGTAGACTTCTTGCACCAAGACTGGCATTTCAAAAATTAATGCAAGCTCCAAGGGGAAGGCAAGTCAAAATTCTTGGAAATGTAGTTAATGTAGTGGCAGAAGTATCCAATACTGTTAATGTGTTACCAAGGTTACCCAGTGATACTGGTATAATTAAAGTAAATTTAAAGAGAAAATTACAATACAAAAGTTCAGCAATGTCTTTCAATGTAAGACCGCATAAAGTTATTCAAGCAGCTAACTGGCTCATAAATAACAGTAGCCTGTATAGACAAGAAGGAATAACAGTTAATCAGGTCTGGGGAGTAGAATATAGAGACTATTGTTTGGTAGATGAAAGAAATATTGAAAATGAACACAAAGGGCTACAAAATATTGTTAACTGTTGTGTTAATACTGCAAGTAATACTAATTGTGATGAAGTTGTAGAGACCGAAGATCAGTGGAGTGAAGATGAAGTAGAAATACCTGCTGGAGTTACTGACACCATGTTGACAAACACAAATTTTGTGGAGGACAATGAGAGTCAACGTATTTTAAATGTTGCACCAGGTGAAGGGAATAAACCTTCAAGCATATTCAGAGATCAATATTCTGAAGAATTGGCATATCCTAGCATATTTCTTGGACAAAAATGACCAGAAAATAAAGAGAGATTGGTTAGCGTGCATTACAGTGACATTTGTAAATCTGAATTGAGGCGGTCAGATAGAAGAGCAGCTATGTGTGTTGAAAACATACTCTTTAAAACAAAGAAACTGCAAATGAAAATACTATTAGGAAATTCCCAAGTTGCTCTTAGAAAGTGCAAAGGGAATAGCAGAACTTTAAATGCAGCACAACTTAAACAAGAAGGAGCAATAGAGAAATTGATTCATCATGATGATGGATTTCAGTTTCTTAGAGCATTAAGAGGTTCCCCACCATATTTTGAAAAAGCAAAGAAAGACTTGGTTGCCATGATAAGACAATTAGGACCAGCCTCGTTATTTTGTAGTTTCTCTTCAGCAGAAACTAAGTGGATCCATTTGCTCAGAATACTTGGAGAGTTGGTTGACCACAAACAGTACACTGATACTCATCTGGAAAATATGAACTGGGATGAAAAATGTAGATTAATTCAAAGTGAGGTTCACCCCATATCCATATGCTTATATGGTTAGAAAGTGCACCAGTGTTTGGAATTGATAATGCAACTGTTACAACGTTCATTGATCAGATTGTAAATGGCCAACTGATGACCCACAACTGCAGAAACTAGTGAACAGACAAATTTACAGGCATTCTAACACATGTCAAAAGAAGTCAAAGAGTGAATGTCGATTTAATTACCCGCAACCTCCTATGAGAGCAACTGAAATCATGTATCCTTTAGGTTCAGATATATCACAACACAAAATTAAAAAACATAAAGAAACTTGGAAAACTATTAAAAAGCAACTAAATGATTTAAAGGATGGTGAATCAATTACTTTTGAGGAGCTGCTTCTTAAACTAAGTATTACTGAAAATAACTATCGATTAGGTATCAGGTCAGCTTTTAATTCTCCAACTATATTTTTAAATAGAGAACCAAGTGAGTTAAGAATTAATAGTTACAACCCAACTTGCCTTAAAGCATAGAGAGCAAACATGGATATTCAATTTGTTCTTGACATCTATGCGTGTGCTATGTATATAGTATCATATATTTCTAAAGCACAAAAAGGAATGAGTGAACTTTTGCGTCTAACATCAAGCAACAAGTCAGGGATATTGGAAACAAATTTTTAAATAGTGTTGAAATTAGTGCACAAGAAGCTGTCTACATTGTTCTCCAGCTCCCTATGAAGAAGTCATCACGACAAGTAGTATTCATAAATACTGCACCTCCTGATGAAAGAGTGCAGCTCCTAAAGCAACTTAATGAAGTTAAAGAAATGGAAGATGATTGTTAAGAAGTGTATACAACTGGTCTGTTGCAGAGATATGTAAAACGTCCTTTCAGCCTTGAACACCTAACATTAGCAGATTGGGTAGCATGGTATGACTTGTCTCAAAAGCCTTATGTAAAGAAATCTTTTCAAAATGACACAGATAAACTTCCTTTAGAAACAGGCATTGATGAAAATGATGATACCCTTCCTGATGAAAGTAGGAGCAATAAGGAAACAAATAGAAAAGATCATCAGCTAGAATTATTAGAAGTGTTTGGTTTAACAAAGAAAAAGACCCAGAGAAACACTACCGTGAATTAATTATGCTCTTCACATCATGGAAAAATGAGGAAACTGACTTAATATCCAATTGTTCTTCTTATAAGGCCCGATTTTTACTCATGAAAGATGCCACAAATGACCAAATGAAACAATAGGCTGTTTACAGCGATGAAATTGATAAAATTCAGGAGCACATAAATGATAATATTCTGAGTGATGATCAGTTTGATTCAATAGCACCATTTACTCAAAATATAGAATACCAAGATGAGTATGAAGGTGTTCATGACCTACATCCTGACTTCAATGAGAACTATGACCTATCAGAAGATGTTGGAATTCCCTCTGTGACAACAAGTACTGAACCACTAATATTAAATGAGCTGCAAGACAATGATTATAGACAATTAGTACAAACACGAAATAAAAAGCAAAAAGAGTTTTTTTTATCATGTCTTGCATCTTATTAAAATATCAGACAAACCATTTTACTATTTTCTCTCTGGGGGAGCTGGAGTGGGTAAGTCCCATCTTGTCAAAGCATTATATCAGGCAGCATTAAAATATTATAACTCCAGACATGGAGAAGATTTCCAAGAAGTCAAAATATTGTTTCTTGCCTATACTGGAAAAGCTGCTTTTTCTATCAGAGGTAACACAATACATAGTACCTTGCAAATACCAGCATGCCAATCACTTAAGAATTACAAACCACTAGACTCTAGTAGACTTAACACTTTGAGATGCAAACTTCATGCACTTAGACTAATATTTCTAGATGAGATATCTATGGTAGGAAATACCATGTTTAATGTAGAAATAAACAATAGATTAAAAGATATTAAAGGCAGCAAAGAGGCATTTGGGGGTGTTAGTGTTATTGCACTGGGTTATTTATTCCAGCTAGAACCAGTTATGGATAGATATGTGTTTAAAGACATGAAAGACTCGGAGTATGGAACTCTTGCTCCCAACCTCTGGAAAGAACTTTTTACCATGTTTGAATTACAGGAAATCATGAGGCAGAGAGAAAGTAAACAATATCTGAAATTCTTAACAGATTAAGAGAAGGTAATCACACTACAGATGACATTGCCAAACTTAAAGAGAGGTGCATTTCATAAAATTGTAGAGACTAACCAACTGATATTCCCCATTTGTTCGGCCGACAGGTAGCCTATATTTAGGGCAAAACCTGTCGGCCACCTGTCAGCCAACAGACGACCAACTGTCGGCCGACAGTTTACCGACAGTCGGCCGACAGCTTTTTTGGGAAGCTCTTCTTCACAATTACCCATATGGCAGCTACTGGTGATAAATACACCATTAGAGCTTTAGAAACTCTCCAGAACTCAGAAGTAAGATATTAAACCAAATACCACTGGATCCTAGAAAAACCAAGCAGTTAGCCTCAAACCTTCAACTTGCTGAGGGTGAGAGAACAGAGATAGCATTAAATGTAAGAACTGATGATGGTGTCACAAATGGGGCAAGTAATATTACCAAAAAGATTACATTATATGACAAAAGTAGACCATCTGGTATAATTTGGGTACAGTTTGACCATGTTGATGTTGGAGAAAACACTAGACATGATAACAAGCAATTGTATTTGCAAGGAATTGAACCTACATGAACTCCTATCAAACCTATCATTGCACAATTTGCAGTAGGAAGAAACAGAACAGCCAAAGTTGTAGGAAAGCAGTTTCCATTAAGACCTGCAGCAGCCAAAACCATACATAGATCACAAGGTGACACAGAAACTAGAATAGCTGTTAACTTTAACACCAAAAGAGCAATACCTCATGTGCATTATGTAGGACTCAGCAGAGTAACAACAATTGATGGACTTTACATAACTGACCTTTCTGAAAGTAAAATAGCTGTTAATCATGATGTTAAAGTTCACATGCAGCAGTTACGTGCAGATCGCCACACCAAACTTTCTAATACTCCGATCTATGAATTAGACCCAAATACTTTTAAAATTTGCTTCCTTAATTCAAGATCTCTGCATAAACATATTGGAGACATACGTAGTAACCTAAACTATTCAAATATGGATATCAATATATTCTCAGAAACAAGACTGTACCATTTAGATAGCAATGCCAGCTATGCCATGAGTGGGTATACTATATTTCGAAATGACAGTGAATCTGCAATACTCACTGCAAGGCCCTTTGGTGGAACAGCTGTATACATTAAAATCCCCTTTAAGCCTGGATATCCACTGGCCAAAAACACCAATGGAGTAGAAATAACCATTATCAAAGTTGTTGCCATTCCCCATGTGAATATCATAGGTGTGTACGGGTCACCGAAAGTGTCAGTCCGACAAATGTGTCTAGCATTGACCCAAATTCTCAATAGTTGCTGTTCTGATTTTAATGTTTTTCTTGGGGATTTTAATGTTAATTACTTAATTCAAAAAGAGAAAGTTCCCCTCAATAACTTGTTTATAAGAGAGAACAATTACAGACAATTGGTATCATCCTATACTACTGATAATAGAACAACTATTGACCATATATATACCAATTTGCCTGAATCACAAGTGACTGTACACATTCTGGAAACATATTTCACTGATCATCAGGCAATATGTGCATTGATTAAAACTTGATGTTGTTAAAAATTGAATACACATGTAACTACATGTAAGATGTTTGAGAATGCCATAAAGTACCAATAGAATTCAATGTAGGAAGATTAATTCAGAAATTCACTTGACATCCATCATGATAATTTATGCATGTATTGATAAGATGTTCCAATTTTTCAGATCACAAGCCAGTGTTTTTGCATAAATTGAAGGATAGAAACTTGAAAATAGGCACACATGTGAAGTCAGTTAGTTAACTGTCAAGTAACTGATCTAAAAATACTAATTTTCCTCAATGAAATTCCTCAATAAGATAACCTAAAACTATAATGCAATTCTGAAGGTTGTTTTGCTTTTTGGCAACCTTCTTAAACTTTTTTCCATCAAAGAATAAACATAGGGATAGAGGTAAGCTTGCAATTTTTTTCAATTTTATTTGGTTTCCCCTTTCTCTCAATAGTAGCAAACAATTTCCTAGCCAGTGTATATAATAACAACTACATATACTTATTTCTCTGTTTAAATCTAAGTACCTTCTCCTCATTTTAAGTCTTAGTGTCAATACCAGTAATTTCATGTATTATCCCATTTTTCCCTTACAGCCTGTTCCTGAAAAATGGAGGATGAACTTACTGGCTATCTTCATAATATTTCTCCTCTAAAAAAAGGTTCTAAAACCACATGGTTTGATATGCAAATTCAAACAGAAGCAGAAGTTGTTAGAGGGGTATGCTTCTCAGCAGCAAAACACAATGACTTCTAAAAGTACAGTGAACAGAAAAGCCCCATCAAAATCAAGAAATTCAACATCGATGCAACAGGAAATACAAAGAGTGTACTGATGAGCCCTATAATCCAAGTGGAACCACTGCCCAAACTCAACTTTGAACCAATCACAATCTCAACAACTGTCAGCATACCATCCATTACCTCTGTTAATCCTAGACAGCTGGTTGATGTCAAAGCCAATCTCCTTTACTTGTCAGGAGAGCAAAAAGGCTAATACCATGAATGGCCCTAAGAGTAAGGTGGAAGCAACTCTAAGAGATCCATTTGGTTCTATCAGGATAACTCTCTGGGAACAGTATACTAATCAGGTACAAGAAGGAAAACTTATGCCTTCAAGAACCTGAAAGTAAGAAAGAATGGTGACTGGCACGAATTAACAACAGCAAGAGATGGATCTACAACTATCACAGAAGTTGAGCCATTCAAAGAAACATTGGCCACCCCAACAGACATCCCAGAATCATTTCTTATTTCTAAATCAACTGCTGAAATACTAGGAATTGCTCAGTTCTCAGTGTACCACTCCTGTCAGGTGTGCAAGAAAAAGCTTCATGATGAAAACACCAACATTCTGAAGTGCGGTAATTGTGGCCTTAAACAAAAGTTAGCAAAGTGTTGCAAAAATATCTACCTGCAAGTAGTAATGAAGATCGATGATAACACCAATCTTACACTTACAATTTTTGATCAAACAATAAAAAACCTACTGATTGCAATAGGAAAAAAAGATGTGCCCCAAACAGAAGATAACATTACTGAAGTTTTCCTTGATCTACCTCTAGTGGAAATCACTTACAACAAGAAGACTAAAATTGTCACTGATGTTGTGCTGAAGGCTTAATTTTTGTTCTTGAACTGTAAGCTAAGTTCACAAGTTATGTTCAAGTTCATTTAATTAGTAAAAGGGACCCATGTTACTTCCAGTTACACAATATTGAAATGTTTCAGTTAGCTTTTCCTTTGTTAATTTATTCAGAGAATATTGAAAAACGAACATTTGATGTAATTAATCATTATGATAATACTGAATGACATCGTTACCTTTCGACTGTATTATTTCCTTGTTTTCTCATGGACAGCAATATGTCTAGTATTGTGTATATTGTACCAAGCATTTTTATTTTTCATGTGAACAGAGCTAACTGAAAGGTCTGTGTCACAAGTTTGTGTTGAATGCAATTACATCCGTTCCAATTACACAGTATCAAGTTCTTCCAGTTTCGTTGCTTGATTCACACTGAACTAAAGTTTTGATGGAACAAGTATTTTCCATTTCTCCAAGTAAGCCCTTCACTTAGCCCATGACATGTAGTTATTGGTACTTTGTAATCCATAAGAGTACAGGCTAGATATATGTTTCCTTTAAAGATTGGCAGTTTCTGGTTAAACAAATGTTACGTTTTACATTCGTTGTTTGTTAGCAGTGTTCTTTGCTTATGTACTTTCTTACAATTGCAATGGACTAATATATTACAAAACCCCACAGTGAGAATCAATTCAGCCCAAACCTTTGGCAACTATACATTACATCACCAGTGGTCCTAAAAGACACGTGCCAGGTCGCTTAGAGGGAATATTCTTTTGCGCATGATGTCGTACAACATGTAGAGCTAAAAAAGCCTTGCAAATTCCTTTAAATTTGTTGGTTTGCAATCCTTTCTTCTTTTTAAGATGGCTCGCTTCGATCATTGATCCGTGTGGGAATGTGAAAATTATCGTAGACATCTCAAAAGGTAAAAAATTTTAACGAAAACCTTTGTTCGCAATTCATGGTTCGTGAAGAGGTCCCTAATAAGTTGTTACACATTCTGTTGCTCCAAAAGTTACTAGCAGAAGGGAGAAGACAATTCGAATGCACAGTAGAAACAAGGATTAATTAAATGCAGTAGGTAATCAAAATTACAAATTAGAATCAAGTAATCGGTGTGAAATCATGTTGAATTATACAGATGAAAAGGGCAAAGTTGCGATTGAAGGTTACAAGATTATAATTGAAGATTGTTGCTGAATTTGTGTGGTCCCAACTGAAAATAAAATTACAGCAGTACATAAACTAAGAAAGTACCCTGGGAAATGCAACACATACCTAACTAACAATGAGATGATTATAAAGAGAACTGAGTGCGAGAAATAAACCAATGTAGTCAATACAGACCGAAAGGGAAATATCGTAAATGTAAAATAAAGGAAGACTTACTTTGGTCTAGCTCCTAACAATAGCAGATGAACATTGAAGGTAACAGCAGCAACTAATGGCGATGAAACATGAGATACAATATCTGATGCATGTGCTCAAAAGAAAGTGATTGAAATGGCAAACTTATTAATTAATAATCATTAACTAATGAGGGATTAATTGTTAAAGAGAAACCAGAACAGAAGACAAGAGAAAAGTACACGAACTACGCGTTTCGAAACTAACACTCACGAGAATACAAACCCTATAATATTTTCTCTTGACCAAAAGCTATTGATAAAATTCAAGGAAAATAAGCAAGAAATATCTCTTTATTCCAAAAAGTCTTAGATAGACCGTTCAAAAACGAAAAAACCAAGGAATTTCTTGAACTTACAAGACCTGGGCGATATATGCACCATCGTTGTTTACATAAGTTCACGGCCATAGCGTTGTGTTAAAGATTCTGGAAGTTTAAAGACAAAATCTTCGATTTAATAATACCTTAAAAACATATGAACACTTAAAAAAATAAAATTATCAGTCCAAAAAATAGTCAAATATCGCAGAGTCTCACTTGAAGTTAGGAAGTTCTGTTTTCATTTTCGGGCCTTTCCCTACGCTTTTGAGAATTGCATTTTTTGTTACCCCAAAACTAATTCCGTCGCTTTTACACTTAAATTTAAATTATTCCTAGAATATGTAGTTTCCATTTAAGCTCCAAAACGTCTGCTATGATTGGGATAGATCGAAAGAGGTAACAACTGTATGCCACAAAAAAATTCGAAGTACATGCAAGCAACTAGCTCGCACTAGACACATGTATGCCTTTGCATACCTATTTTTGACATAAGTGAAAAGCACGTGCACACAATCCTGTTGAATGACCGCTTGGCAATCTTGCCAGAGCCAAACCCTTGCTGTCCGTTTTGGTCCATGTTGAGCTCTTGGGACAAAAGAGTGACGAAATGAGATTCCAGTTCTGTTTTCATGCGATTTTGTTACAAACAAGTCTTCTTTAGGCACTTCAAAGCTCTCGAGATTGGCAAACTTCTCAACATGTCACGGACACGTGATCATGAAGATCAACCACAAATGGTAAGACGTACAGTTTCTTTTCAGCGCTTCAACCACTGTAATTTTGGGGTTGGGTTCTTCAATCAGCTCAACAACTATTCATTTTTGCAGATTACAATCAATGACAGTCCAGTGACATATTTCGTTGAGGAAATGGTCATTAATTTAGAGGGCCACTTAGCCCAATTTGATGCTGTAAGTGGAAGTCAATTACATAACAGGAATTTAAAACATAAGCTCATATGTACACGATAGAAAGAAGAAGTTTGCTAGTTGTCAAATACTTGTGAAAAGTCAAAGATGTAGACTAAAGCTCTTAACATTGTTTGATTTTCAGGAGGGACCATCGATGAATGACCTTACTCAATGGTACTGTAGTGAGTTATAATACAAAATGTCATACAAATGGAATTTTTAGAGCCTTTTTAATCTTAGAATTCATTTCATGTTTTTCATCAACTGCTCATACAGGGACTGCATGGTCATCCTCACAGTGAGATTCCTCAGCAAGCAGCCCACTCTGCAGGAAATCATTAGAAACAGTAGAAACACCACCTCTAGGACCACTGCTGCCAGTAAATGTCAATTCTTTGCCCATTACCTCTCTCAAACAAACAGTAGCTTCAAATAGTGCACTAGATGTTAAAAGTTTCATACTTTGATCACATTTACGGTGTGAAAGAGACTTGTCAATAACTTGTCAGCTAATTGAGATCAAATTCTTGGAATTTTACAAATCAAATGCTCTATCTTTTGTTTTCATAGGAAACAAACTGCTTTTCACTTAGGTCTAAGGACTAATGTCTTGAAGTATAGTTTTTTCCATCCAATAATTGGCATATGGAATCAATTACCTTTTGATATTCGTTATTCTGATAATGTAAATATTGTTAAGTCAAGAGTTAAGAAATTTATTGGTGATTCTTAAGTATTTTTCCTCTTCATAAATGCATTTCTTGAATTTATTGTCTTCAGTGTA